CGTATATAATTAAATATTGGGTTTAATACGTCGTTATTTATTTTGGATATGAAAAATTCCATTGGGGAGGGGGGTATATGGCGACGAGGTATGCTTGGGGTTGACCCGTTGACCATGYCCACCCTAAGGTTGACCCATTTGATTTTCGAGTTGACTTTTTGGGAAAATGTTAATACTCTAATTATTGAAATATAATTATATGTTATAGGATATTACTCAGGGACGAGGTTTAGCCAAACAGAGCTATTCAGGTGAGTCTTCATGAGATTTTAATTGAGATGCCAAACAGTTTATGGGTTTATTACATGTATATGAATTATCATTGTGGGTTGCATGTTATTTGTTTACGTGTTTTTAAACATTAATTAACATGTTATAAACGGGTTAATATTTTTGTCGTGTATGGGAAGGGGTCAAAAGTCATAGGGATGGCACATCCTAGGGATGGGTGACCGGACAAGGGATAGCCGTGTAACCCGGGGAAGTGCCGATGACGGTAAGACCTTAACCTGACGGGAAATTAAGAGATCTCATTATTGTAACACCCTCATTTTCACCATGAGTTGTGTCACGTCATTCTCATTAAATAACAATAAATAACCCCAACATATAGTGGCTAATAAAGTCTTATTATAGCGGAAGTCTTACAAATTCAATTAAAATTAATAGCTCAATGCTAACCCGTCCCATACCGGGTTACATTACAAAATGAGTTTAAACATAAATCTAAACATCCGAAATATAATAATATAATTATCTAGAATAGAACCTCGCTCTTGTCCACCCTTGAACCTCTTGCACCTGAGATGCATTCTAATAGTCAGCTTTACAAAGCTCGGTGAGTTCATGGTTTTTGTGCACAATCATACACACCTCATCATGCATAAAACAAACAATTCCCCAAATAAAATAATATGCACATTTGTTTCAAACCCTTTTGAAATAATAATGAGATCTCTTAATTTCCCGTCGGGTTAAGGTCTTACCGTCATCGGCACTTCCCCGGGTTACACGGCTATCCCTTGTCCGGTTACCCCTCCCTAGGATGTGCCATCCCTTATGACTTTTGACCCCTTCCCATACCCGACAAAAATATTAACCCGTTTATAACATGTTAATTAATGTTTAAAAACACGTAAACAAATAGCATGCAACCCACAATGATAATTCATATACATGTAATAAACCCATAAACATGTACATAAAAAAATAATGTAATGCTCAAATAATTTGTACGTAAGCATGCATCCCAATTAAAATCTCATAAGAACTCACCTTAATAGCTCTGCTTAGCTAAACCTCGTCCCTGAGTAATATCCTATAACATGTAATTGTATTTCAATATTAGAGTATTGACTTTTCCCCAAACAATTCAACCCAAAAGTCAAATGGGTCAACCTTAGGGTGGGCATGGTCAACGGGTCAACCCCAAGCATACCTCGTCGTCATATACCCCCCTCCCCAATGGAATTTTTCATATCCAAAATAAATTACGACGTATTAAACCCAACATTTAATTATATACGTCTCTCGTTATAAAAACGTCCGATCCCACAATTATCTAGTCACAACTCCCGAAATAAGTTACTAAATTATTTCTTATAATTTAAATATGGAAATCCAATTAATTAATA